AGTTCTCAGGTGTTTTTTTCTGTTGCTGTTCATATGAACTATTCATCCCTTATCATCCTATTCATGCAAGTTACGAATAATGATAACAATCCTCATTCTGATAAGTGGATGTAGCAACAAGCAAAATATAGAAAAAGAATGAATTAAGTACGTCCTTATGATGCTCTCTCATTTAATTCCACTCTTTTGCTTATACATCTGTTACTTTAGCAAAGGATGGCTGCATATAGAAGAGCGAGATAGTGGATATTTCTAATTAATTCACATCATGATGCATGACATTCATTGAGAAAGGAATCTTGATTACAACAGAAGTGACAGGAAAAAAGAAAAAAAAATTCTTTTTGAATATTTCATGCTGAGCGCCATCAAGTGACACTAGAAAAATGTGTCTAATAAATCATTCAAGCATGAAAGATGAGGAAAAGGAAGAAAAAAAAGGGAGTAATAGGGAAGGAAGGAGACAAAATAGATAAAAAGAACTGACATTTGCCCACGATAAAGTGTCAGCACTTTAAATTGCCTAACAAGACGACGATGTCTTTGCTAATATTAACAAACATATTTCTTGTTCCTGCTATCCGTCTCGTACTTATTCCTATCAGGCTATTTTCTTCCTTTTTTTATTGGAATGACTATATTGCAGACAGGAAGTAGGTAAAAAATAAAAAAATAGTTTTAATAGCCTTAAGCGCATTTTCCTCAGTCGCTGAAATCTTTAAATGCACAAATCTATAGCAACAGTGCCATTGGAAACAGCCAAACAGAAAGCACAACCACAAAAGTAAAAGAAGCCATGACTCTTGAAACGGAATCACACTTATCTTCATCACAACGCAAATTGGATGGATTTTTCAAGAAGTTCGTGCTTCTCGTTCTGTTATGGGAGCAATTACGACAGGCTGTGCAATAAATATGCAAAAGAAGAAGTCAGGTTGGATTTGTAAAGGGACATCTTGATTGTTGGCTTCTTAGTTCTCTTTTATGTTCGAGTACTCGAAACCTTTGATCATTAGAATTTTAAATTTTTTTGTCTCTGTCTTTCTCTTGTACCAAGCTGTCTGTTTTATCTGCAGTACATTCTCAACAGCAGAAGCAATAAAATTATAGAATGGATGCACTGAAGGAAAAATAATAGTCTAAATTTTTTAGTAAGTCTACTTTATAGCTTTTTCTGGTCCATTAATCTGTCATATAAAGTAGGTCATGTTTTCGGAATCTGATTGAAATGTCTATTTGTAATTTAAGTAAATTGGATATTGGCAGTTGCAAATTGAAGTGTCAATTTTTGCACTCAATTTGAGTTTAAGTGAATCCATTTAAATTATTGTAAATTATTTTGCTAATGACACACGTGTTTTGATGATTTAATTGGCATTTGGATATAATTGGGTAGTTTGCTGTAATTATTTTATCGAGATTAGTGTGTCAAATTAAAGTTGGAATTGAAATATAGTAACTTGGATCAGAGTTTGGAGGTTAGTAGAGTCAACTTTAATACTATCCTCTTTGATGTTGGACAGTGATAATTAATAGAACTATTGGTTAATATTGAGGAAAATGGAAGGTCCAGGGGGATTGTTCTGAATTTTATGATAACTCTAGACTGGTTTCTATGGCTGCTCAGGGCAACCTAGGGTAGGAATGAATTTCGATTTTCTAAAATTAAGGTATTAACAGAGCTTGAAGTCAGCTTTTCTCGAGTCGACTTCATTTTTTTCGAGTCAAATCAAGTCAATTCGAGTCAACTTCGAGCTCTGGGTTTTACTATAATTTATCAAAAACTAGGTTAGGAACCTCAGAAACTAGCTCTCGTTCAATTTGACTCAATCATTAATTCTTCACATTCAATGTCATGCCAGTCATTCCTTAAATTTAAAACTAATCCCAACAAACGAATTTTAATGACAATTTTAACAAAATTCATCAAAACCGGCCACAGTCACAACTCCCAATCCTGCAAAAAATATCAAGTTCCATTTCCATTGCACATCCTAAGGGGCCATTCACATATTACGTAACGCAAAAATAGGATTTTTAAAATCCCCTCCCCCTTTGCCACCCTTTGTCTTTGTTTGAACTGTCACAAAGTTTCAAACCCTCGTCCCTGAAAAGCGTTACGTAATAAATGAACTGCCCCTAACTTCAAATAATGCCATCAACAACATTGTTTGCTATAGTCTCAAAGATTTATCTATCGCAGGTAATATTTTTTTTGCACTAAAATAATTTTTTATTACATTCATAAATAATTTTATAGTTTCCATATTTTTGTAGGTCAAAAAAAGTTTTTAAGAAGATTAAAGTCATAAAATACATTTTTTTTACACTCATAGAAAAATTTGTGGGTGTTACCTGAGGGAGGGTGGAGAAAAAAAAAGTTTGATTTTAGTTGTCAACATTATTTCTATGTTAATAAACCTTTTTCGACCTTTGAGACTTGAGTGGAATGTTTACGATGTAAAGAAACAGTTGACCAAGTTTTTTAGGGGGACTTGAGGATTATTTTGGATAAATTTTAATAGCTTTACAAGTTATGCGTTGTTAAAGATTGCAAAAATAAAAGTAAAGTTACAGCAAAGCTAAGTTTGGAGGGGTTTTGACTCGTAGAAACTAGAAACCATGTTAACTACATTTTTGATTCAAATTCACTATCTAGATCAGTGTTTCTCAACTTGTTGGTCCACGGCACTGCCATATATATATATATATATATATATATTCGAATATATGCGCACATTATATTTGCCGTGACGGCACACATTTTCATTTGAAAATTTTTGTGCCACATTTGAATGGGTTCGTTCACTTATGACGTCCAAAATTAACCGTCATTTTTCAAAAAAGAACAATAGATTTCTAATACGAAATATCTATTGTTCTTTTTTTGATACCCCCCCCCCCCCCCCCCGGACGTCATAAGTGAACGGCTCTAATGATTTTCATGACCTTTTTGAGGTCATAAAAGGACCAATTTTAAAGTATAGAAACACCTGGAATTTTTTGACGACAAACTAGTGTGCCGCGGCACATATTTTGAGAACCACTGTTTTATATTCTAGAAAGCTACCAATAAATAGGTTTTTAGACTTAAATTAGTAGCTTTGTTGCCAGTTTTGAGTAACATCTAGTCAAAGACAAAAGCTAGTCTTCCATCTAGCAACTCTGTCCCACAACATTCACTATAAATTCTGCAATTATTACATTTAATTACTCATACACAACCAGTTAAATGCCCTTATCATGCAACTCATTATCAATTTTATAGCTCATGGCACCTCGATCATTTCCAACAACTAACTTTTTATGCTTAATCGTTTGAAATAAAATTCAAGCAATATTCCATTAAATAACAATTAATAGTTCAACAATGAACTGTGAAATATTTTAATGATGATAATTAAATTTTATAGTGTGAACGTATCAATGTTACATAATGATCCATAATTTATACTTTTTATATTAATCTTAATTTTATGTCAAATTATTTTATCAAATAATTACGTATCCATATTAACCTCATTATAGACTTAATCCTCCACATGAATTATTATCAATATTTGCTTTTAACAATACGTAATTGCATATTTGTAGGTATGAGTGTGTCTGTATTTTTTTTTTTTTTTTGGTATCATATGCCTCATTAATTTTTCATCATATTTATACAATAAAAATGTTTCATGATCAATAATGAGCTCATTGATTAAAATATGATATTTCAAAATTATTTTTTTTTTTCGTCTATGACATCAAAGTTTTCATAATTTTTTCCAATTATATTGTGGGTGTTTTGAAATGAATTATTCAAATACTTGTGGCAGGTATCATTGTGGGTTGTTTGATTATTGAATCGATCGGATATTATCTTTGATGCTATGTAACTTCAATAAGGAGTCATTCACTTATGAGGGAAATCATTAATTTTTTAAGACTGAACTCTCATTCTAGGATTGAATTAGTTACACAAGATGCTAGAAATATCACATCTCCATGCACTCCAGCTTTGATGAGATATCTTTTGAAAAGATCCCAGTTTAAGCTACCGGCACTGAGATTTGACAAGAAAATATTATATTCTACCACATTCTTCAGACCTATACTGTATAGAAGAATCCAAACTACCTACAAGCTCTGTGCCTTGTAAAGATACGAGTTCGTCTAGATGCTCAAAAGATGCCGTAATTCAGTGATCCAGATGTGAATATATCCCAGCATGCATAGCAAAGGAGACCACATTAAGCATGCAAAACATATTATAACTTTAGATAAAAGCGATTCTATTTAATAGCCAGTCAACGATAAATCATGTTAGTGCAAGGGAAAAGAAAAAAATGTAAACGTATGTACATAGGATTTAGCCATACAGTCAACTAACCCCCGATAGCTCATTGGGAGGAGTATGCGATTGGAAACCGTTGGACGCAGGTTCAAGTCTCAGTCGTGAGAAAAAGGAACGAGAGCAACAAGATTACCTTATAATGGAATATTGTCAGAACGAACCTAAAATGTATTATGTCACGCCCACAGAAGATTGAAACGAGAGCCAGAATTTAATCGAAACTTAAATTTGAAAATTGGAAGTTTGATTCTATTCTTCAAGTAAGTCATCAATTATTTTCATCTTCGACTATCAAAATCAATTTTCATCATCATCAACCCCAATGTAATTCCAACAATTAGGAAGATTTAAACAAAAAGCAAGCCATAATCTTCAAAACTGAATCAACCCATGAAATTGCCATAAAAACGGCATGTAGACATTTTGCAAAATTGGTGTTAATCCTTAAAAGACTACGTGACCAAGAAATATTTTAAAGTCATCCCCGCACATTTCTCGGAGTGTAAGTATGGCAAGAAACTTATTATTCCTGCTCCTTACATATTTATACATTTTGTTTTTAAGGGCCATTTGAGAGAGTTTTTGTCTTGTACTTTTATTTCATTTTATGACGGAGCATATGTTTCAAGTACTATGGAATAATTATGTTGTAAACATTTATTACCTCTTTTTTTCGGCTTTTTCCTTGTTGTTCCTTATTCTTGCTTGTATACACAGAAAAAAAAAATTAAAATTCTGCTGAAAAAACTGCACAGAGAAAAGTTTTTACGACTTTGTTGGTAATCCTCTTTATTTTCGCTGTTGCGTTTCGACTTGTTTTTTCATGAAATTTAAATTTGTTGTTTTTGCAATGCTAAAAATTCATGAATTCATCTCACGGTTTATTACACTCTTTCTAAAGTTTTTTTTTATGATTCTATTATTTTTTGTTGGTCGCCGAATTTCTTTTATTATTCACTACAATTCATAAAATTTTTAAAGTTTTTTAACTACACACAATCACAGATTTTCTTTATATTATAATAAAATTCAATTCACAATCTTATCGGTTCATTTATCATCATTTAATTCCTATTTATATTTATTTTTGGATGACAATTGATTGACCTTATTAAATGACGTGTCTGCCTGTAAAGAAAAAAAGAAAATATTGAATAAGAAAAACTAATTTTTAATAATGAAAGACATTTAAATTTTACAAAACACATTTTTTTGTGGTTATATTGAGGTTATGTGTTCGTTTTGTAAGGCTAGGATTTTGTATGCATGAATCTTGAATAATTTAGACATGGTTGTGGTCAGGCTTTTATTTTTTTTGTATTAGTTTTGAAGTATTTTAATCGATAATAACACTAGTGTGCCTCTGCAGACTGGTTGGTCATCACTGACTTAAATCGTGAATACTTAGGTAGAGTTAAAATATATTTAAATAAAATGGAAAAACATTACTGAAATTTGAAATAAATTAAAACATTTTTAAAAATTTAAACAATTTCAGAAAAATTCAAAAACGATTTAAAAAATAATAAAACAATTTTTCAAAAAATTAAAAATAATTTAAAATAATTTAAACAATTGAAAAAAAACTTAAGAAAGAGAAAAACAATTTTTTAAGATAAAAAATGATTTTTAAAAAACAAAAATAATTTTTCAAAAATTAAAATATTTTTTAAAAAATTAAAATCATTTTTAAAAAATTAAAATCATTTTTAAAAATCAAAATTTATTTTTTAAAAGTAAAAAACAATCTAAAATTTTAAAACATTATAAATAGGTTTTAAAAAATTAAAAAGTTCCTATGAACTTATTTTAAGAACATCTACACACATAATGCGCTCCATACATCCACAACACAAGCAATTCCCAATATCAATCTCTTTCCCTTTCTCTTCTCATCATCATCTTTATTCAGTGAATCTCATTAACTCCATTGTGACCCGTTTCTCTTTGTTATGACGACGTTCGGCATTTATGTGTCTACATAAATAGAATTTTTAATATGCTTTATACAACAATAAATAACATAGAATGGAATGAAAAAGAGAGGGAGAGATGAAAGAAGACGTAACGCATTCCGTAAAGTTTTGGGAGCAACGATTCGATATGGAATAAACAAAAAAAAAAATACCCCATATTATTTTATGTACTCTTGCTATTAAACTATGTTTGAAAAACATTTTTCCCCTTCAGCTTTTTTTAACCTCCTTATTTACTAGTTCAACAATAAATTTTTATCAGCATTCCGTTTACAGACAGTTTAAAGGAAAGAACATTTTCTCTATCGACTTAATTTGTTCTCTCAATCATAATCTTTTGTTTAAACAATTCTTTATTCTCCGTCTTTAGACTTGCGTCTTTTATGTTAATGTGACGCCTTATGGATGACTTATTGTTATTTTTGTTTTGATACTAGTTTTATGTTATCGCGAAGCATGACTGGAAAGTTTTTTGAATGGATTTATTTATGTATGATTTGGGAATTTTAAGTTGGATGGACATCTGTTTGGTTTTATTTGGGATTGTCTCTTATTTTTACAACTGTTCTGAACATTCTTACTTATTCTTATGAGACTCAGTTGTGTCCAACCTATTTTCTGCCAGCGGCACACTTGATGGTAATCCATGACAAAAACTGCACACAGCATACGGCTCGTAGGATATTTCAATTAGATTTTTAGCGGCAAGGATTGGCCATCACTGTTATAAGAGGCTGTTCATAAATGACGTCCATCAAAAACAGATTTTTAGACCCCCCTCCCCCCCCCCCCCCACCTGGCACAAATTTTGTATCAAAAATAATTCCTTTGTGTGAATTGTCATAAAATCCTTGAATGTCGGACATCATAAATGAACAACCCCTAAAGAGTGTAACGAAACAATTTACAAAAAGGGGGAGGAGGGGGTGTTTTCATGAGAATATAACTGAAAATCCCAAAAAACTTCGCTACGTTCCCGAAAACAAGAGTTAGGCTTAAAATTCAAATTAAGTCACTAATGTGGAACTTAAGCACTCCCCCCCCCCCACCCATACTGCTTATTCGAAGTTATAAACCAAACAGTTGCTGTCTGTTTAAGCAAACAAGTAGGTTTCTATAAAAATTCCAAAAAAATTCTAAGAATTACCACAAACTCTAATAAAAATACTTGTTGCCTCATTCATTACAAAAAAACCCAAAATTACCGCAAACTTTTCATTAAATTTTTTTGTGTCACTCGGGTTTGTCACAAAGAAAGTTTACTCAATTTCTTTAAAGTTTAATAGGCTTTTTCACCCTTTTTATTTAAAAGAATCTAACCAATATTAATAGCATACAGATATAAATACCACTTATAAAATATTTCTATGACAGCTACATAGATGAATAAGTGGGTAAAATTTCATATACACATGTATGACTTCGATAAAGTTCTCTTTTATCTTACATAAAAATGTATAAAAAATTCATGTTCCTGTGGTTTTGATTGTGGTTTTTACTTCTGTGAAAGACTCGAAATATGGAATTACTGAAACGTGCTGAAACTATTACTATTCGTTAGCATTAAAACTTTGTTGATTTTTTTTTTATCTACTTTATGAGTGCCTATTAAAATAACGAATTTTAAAATTTCGAAACTTCATTTTTACGAACTCTCATTTTTACGACCATATCATTTTTACGAAAAATCATTTTTTCGACTTTTTTATAAATTTCAAATTCTAAAATGTCGTTAATTTCATCACGTGTTCTCTTCAATAATAAATCTTCAAAAAAAAGATTAAGAGAACAAATGTTTTTAAATGTATGGAATTAAAACATATTTTTTATTCAATATTACATTTCATGGACTATATGTGTATGTTTAAAGGAGTAACAAACACAATTAAGCTCTTAAATCATTTTTAACTCCTGCAATAGCCTTTGATGTTTCAACTCGTGGCACGGATTTTCAACGGTTCAGGATTGATTTAATGGAATTCTCTGTCTTTTCAAAACCTGGCATTCTATGCTTTTGTGGCTTTCCAAATTTTGAAAAGACAGAATTCCATTAAATCAATCCTGAACCGTTGAAAATCCGTGCCACGAGTTGAAACATCAAAGGCTATTGCAGGAGTTAAAAATGATTTAAGAGCTTAATTGTGTTTGTTACTCCTTTAAACATACACATATAGTCCATGAAATGTAATATTGAATAAAAAATATGTTTTAATTCCATACATTTAAAAACATTTGTTCTCTTAATCTTTTTTTTGAAGATTTATTATTGAAGAGAACACGTGATGAAATTAACGACATTTTAGAATTTGAAATTTATAAAAAAGTCGAAAAAATAATTTTTCGTAAAAATGATATGGTCGTAAAAATGAGAGTTCGTAAAAATGTAGTTTCGAAATTTTAAAATTCGTTATTTTAATAGGCACTCCTACTTTATATTTTAAAAAAAAAAAACATTTTGCTGAGTTTTATTATCAACTTGAGGAAATAGCAGCAATTTATTTTGAGGCACAAAAATGTTGTTTAAACCTTAAATTCCAACTAGATGCGGTCGTAAAGAGCAAAATAGATAAATGTAGAGTTTTTAAATTGAAGCAATTTGTTAGGAAATTTCCACTAAGCATTTAATTGAGTTTTGCCAAAAATTTTATCAGACTAATTCAGCACAAGCCAATTTGTTGTGAAGGGGGATGTTCGTAAATGACGTATTTTGAATCAATTCTCTTAGAAAATTAGTAGCTGTGTAGCTAGGGCTACCTGGGATACCTCATCACAGTACTATGGGAAACAAGTAAAATTTAATGGCTACAAGTCAGAGAAGCCCCCACGATTTTGAAGGGGGGGGGGACAATTTTTTTTATTTTCAAAATTTTAGGGAGGGGGAGAATTTTAAGTATTTGTCCCAAAAAACCTTTCCTACCACCACGAGATATGCGCTTGATACAAATGCCTTAAGTAGACTTAGAAAGCATCTTAAAAGGAACGAGAGGGGGGGGGGGGGAGATGATTATCAAGAGCAGCAGGGCAATAAATTTTAAATTAATCCAATAGACTTTAAAAATTCAAATTTTTGAACACCGTCATTTATGATTAAACCCATTTGTACGGTAGTACATTTAATTTGTGAATTTGCTTTGGGTATTGCTTGTTTTGTTTTGTAAGAATCACATGAAAGGTGTGGTGATGTTGAATGGAAATGTTATATTGAAGTTTTTTTTTATCGTTAAGTTCGACAGGTTGTCAAATGTGCATACAGAAGAATTATTGCTCATTTGTAAAAGGTTTTAAAAGTTTATAAAATGATAAAGGCTGAAGGTTCAAATCCTAAAGTACTAGACAATATATTTGATTTGATGAAATTAACTTTTATCCCACAAAACTTAATCAATATTTTTTTAACACCCAAAAAAAAAGACCGCCAGACAGTGAAAGTTAATTTATTCATTCTAATTAGTAAAATACATTTATCAACTTATAGGCTCGAAATAAAAAATTAATATTTCAATAATCCATTTCAAAATTCATTAATATGCCATAAATTATTTATTGCCTTATAAATTACTGTCATAAAAAAAGGTATGAGAAATATTTTCTTGTTGGTGCTACATAGAAAATTACATCCAATAATGAGCTTGAAAAGCTTCTAGTTGAATGAATAAAATATTCATCATTTGAAGCCTTCAAACAATTTCCCAAAAAAATTGTAGTCGACAAAATTATTCAAGACTAGCGCGGAAAATTTTCATTCATTTTTCATTGAAGCAATTTGTTTGGTATTTTAGTGAGCCTTTATACAATCGCGTCGCTGACAACTGAAAAATATGAAGAATATCGACATGCCGGAAAAAAAAAGTGGAAAGGAAGAAGAAGAAGGAAGAAAAGTTTATTTTATTATCCTCATAGTTTATACACAAAATACTTTATCGTAAAATGTTATTTTTATGAAGTAAATAAGGCAGTTAACCAATATTATGGTACGGAAATATTCAAAATTTTTGTACTTAAAATGAGGCGATAAGAAGAATTTTTTGTAGATTCGGGGGTGGAGTCAAGGGTGTAGACAGGTTGACGTATATTTATTCTATAGAAATATTCAGGGAATTGGAGGTTCAAGAGAGTTTTATGTCCTTTAAAGAGGTTCCAGATGGTTCATAA